GAAAAAGAATCACTTAAAAAATGTGTTTCCCATTTGATCAAGATTAATGATTTCATGATATTTTGTGAAACTCAAAATTGATTTTGATGACTTGATTATGAGTTTCAAGTTAACGATTTGATTTGAATGAATTTTATCTAAATCATAATCTTGATCTTGCAAAACTAGAATCACAAATAATATCTTTTGGTATTCATGAATTGATACTCACAATATGAAAGTATTAGTATTCATGACTTGAATTTGATTGAAACATTGCATGCTTAAATTAATTATTCTCTTATATTTCAAAAATTCTTTAAATGCCTTATGTGATGATTGAAAATTAATTTGCTTTATGATAAATCACGAATCATGACTTGATCTATGATATTGATATATTTTAATCATGATCCTTAGTTGTATAATTCTTTTGCTCTATTAAAAAGATTTGTCGAATGAATCATGTCCTTCTTGAATTTTCTTGATATCATGACATGATTTTGTAATATGGCTTATATAATGATTAAATTTTTTTAGCCATTGATTTCTCCCTTCTTTTTTATAATGATAAAGGGGGAGTTAGTTTACTAGCTTGCATATTTCAAAGGAAGGAAAATTTACTAGCTCGATCATTTCATTGAAAGAACTTGCTATCATGAACACTACCAATGAATTACAAATCTTGCAATCTAAAGAGAAGTAAAGAATTGCTATCTCGAAAGAAGCAAAAAATGCAAAACTTAGAAAACTTGCAATATAATTGCTCTTGCCATGCTTTGTATCAAAAATAGGTTGATATCCTTAAAAGCATAGCATTAAATTTGTTAGTGTATCGCAATGTATCATATGTATCGCAAATTGAAATTTTTGAGACTATTATCATATCATGTTTAACAATTGATGTCTTTCATGACATGATTTCTTTGCATTGTTGTCTTGTTTGTATCATGTGATGATTGAAATATTGATTGATGCAAATTCATAGTTTATATAAAAGTCTAAATCATTGGTTCCTCTCCTTCTTTTCGGTAATGACATAGGGGGAGAAAGATTACTAGCTCAAGGTAAATGCTGGCTAGCTTGTACTCTTCCCTTCTTTTCGATAAAACCAAAGGGGAGAAAGTTTTTGCTAGTTAGAACATGCAAAGAAAAGCAAAGTGCAACCTTGCACAAGAAGCAAGTGTTGAATTGCCATGATTGAACTTAAGAATCTTGCTATGCTTTTGTGCTTATCTGTTGTGATGAAAATCTAGCTTCATGTTACAAAAACTTGCATATCTTTCAAAATAGCTAGAGCTACTTCTCCTTTTGTTGATGACATAGGGGAAGAAGTATATTGATGACTTCATGCATTGAATTGAATATTTTATATATATTTGCATGATAGTTTAAATATTTTTCATAACATGTGATGAATGTTGCTTGGATTTGGGACAATCCAAGTGTTCTATCAATGACATATTGATAGGGGGAGTTTGGTTAAACTCCGAAGAGTTATGGTTAACTCTGTTAGTCATCAATTAGTTGTCATCATCAAAAAGGGGGAGATTGTTGAATCTCGGATTTTGATGATGAAACTAATTGATTGTGTTTAGATATTTAATTACATTTTGAGTGATGCAGGTCTACTCGATCAGGATTAGAAAGTTGACGCAGGAGGAATTGATATTGCGCTGGAGGAGATCACATTAGGATATTGGACGATAGAAGGCTTCGGACGTCGGGCATCGGGCCAAGGAGAGCGAAATTACGCCAAGGATATCAGGGTTGCGGAGGTCAACCGCCGATTAGGCAATAAGCCGCAATAGAGGACGATGCACTGAAGAATCAGATGAAGCGCCAACCAATGACGTGCCGGGCAATAGAATGTCAATTCGCGTTATAATAATTGTCTAGATCGGAGTAGAGTTTTGGCTTGTGTGTGCAGGATTAACTACGATAACGATGAAGACATAAAACGAAACATAGTGCCAGAGTCAAGCGCGAAGGATTCGTTGGGAGTTCGAGAGTCCGACAGAAGTCCGAAGGTTCATCGGGAATGTTGCTGGAACTAGCCGAGAATGAGTAGGGAGCTTGCTGAAGGGTTTTCAGAAGCTCGCCAGAAGGTACGTCGGAAGTTCACGGAGCTCGCTGAGAAAGATCGTAGCTTGCCGAAGAAACTCGTCGGAACTCGCCAAGATCAAATCGTGAAGTCTAGGAGCTTGCTAGGAGTCCGCAGAATGGTTTCCGAGAGTTTATCGGAAGATCGCCGGAAGTTCACCGGAAGCTCGTCGAAAGAAGTCTTGACTTGCGGACTTTGTAATAGCTTAGGAAATGCCTTTAAATTCATAGTTAGCACGTTAATTAGGGTTAGAATTAGGTGTTAATCCTATAACCCAAGTAGAGGCCAATTGGGCCCGAGTTTGAACTGGTTTAGGCCAAGTTTAGAGCCCAACCAGTGAACTGGTTTAGGCCAAGTTTAGAGCCCAATGTATATATATATGTATATATATGTATATATATGTATATATGTATGTATATATGTATATATATGTATATATATATTTATACATATGTATATGTATATATACATATATATATATATACATATATATACATATACATATGTATATAAATATATATATACATACATATATACATACATATATACATATATATATATATATACATATGTATATGTCTATATATATGTATATATATATATACATATATATATACATATATATATATATACATATATATATATATATATATATATATATATACATATACATATATATATATATATATATACATATACATATATATATATATACATATATATATATATATATATTAATGCAATAGCTCCAAAATTTCCACGGTGTCTCTTATCTGGGCTTCCCTCCCACCCTCCCTCGCTTCCAAAAACAAGCTAACGGAAATAGAAATAATAGAAAATGAACTCCACCACCAAACATGGCAAACCATTCATGTCCGCCATGACTCATCCTTCTCCTGCGGCTTTAACAGCCTCATGCCCTCCCTTTTCTTCTCTCATTATAGCAGCCTTGGGCTCTCCCAACCTGCCCTTACATGGAGGCTTGCGGCCACTCCCTCCTTTTCCTCTTTCTCCTGCTTTGTTTCTCTTCCCTCTCTTATGTTTTTTCAGCCCTCTCTAATGTCGAGGCTGCCTCCATCATACACCGTCAGCTTCTGGCCCTCTCGAAGAAGGAAGACCTTTCCGACGACTTTGAGATCGACGTCAACATCGCCAATCCCCGCCTCCATCGCGCCTACATTGCTTTGAGGGCATGGAAAAAGGCCATGTACTCTGACCCCTACAACTTTACCGATAACTGGATCGGTCCCGACGTGTGCAGTTATCATGGTGTCTTCTGCACCACAGCACCTGATGACCCCTCAATCAATGTCGTTGCCGGGGTTGACCTTAACAGTGCCGATATTGCCGGGTACCTCCCTGCAGAGCTTGGCCATTTGACCGATGCCGCCCTCCTCCACATCAACTCCAATCGCTTCTGCGGCATCATCCCCCAAAACATCTCTCATCTCAAACTCCTCTATGAGTTCGATGTTAGTAACAATCGCTTCGTCGGCCCGTTCCCGGACGTTGTCCTTCGCCTACCATCGCTTAAGTACCTCGACCTTCGGTTCAATGACTTCGAAGGAGCATTGCCGTCGGCACTCTTCGATAAGGAGCTCGACGCTATATTCTTGAATGACAACCATTTCAGCTCTCAAATGCCTTATAATTTTGGCAACTCCAAAGCCTCCGTCATCGTCATCGCCAACAACAAGATCCGTGGCTGCATTCCAAATAGCATCGGCAAGATGGCGGCCACCCTCAACGAGCTTGTTCTGATGAACAATGTGCTTAGTGGATGTTTGCCGCCGGAGATTGGGCTGTTGAGAAATGCGACGGTGGTGGACTTGAGCTGGAACTCTTTCGCTGGCGTGCTGTCGAAGAGCTTGGAGGGTCTGACGAAGGTGGAGCAGTTGGACGTGTCGCACAACATGCTGACGGGCGTCGTCCCGGGGACGCTCTGCCGGATGCCGAACCTCGTCAACTTCCACTTCTCGTACAACTTCTTCAAGGGCGAGGCGGAGGAGTGCGTGCCGATGTCGACCAAGTCCACGGCGGTGGTCGAAGACAAGAGCAATTGCCTGGCGGATAGACCAGCACAGAAATCCGCGAAGATGTGTGCCCCGGTGGTGAGCCGCCCGGTCGATTGCGGTCGCTCCAAATGCGGGTCGTCTTCTCCGGTGAAACCGGTTCCAAAACCATCCCCGGAGCCATCGACCCCTCCAAGACCGCCACCGTCTCCAAAACCTGCATCTCCAGTCTTGTCTCCTCCACCACCACAGCATTCGGAGTCACCCGTAGAACGAGTGCGCTCCCCACATCCTCCGGTCCACTCTCCACAACCTCCACCGGTCCGCTCTCCACCACCTCCTTCGGTCCATTCACCACCACCGCCGGTCCACTCTCTACCTCCTCCCGTTTATTCACCACCATCTCCATCGTTCAATTCACCACCACGTCCAATTCACTCTCCTCCGCCTCCTGGCCACCACCACTCACTACCACCGCTACCTTCTCACTCCGAAGCCGTACCACCGATAGGGGGATTGAGCTATGCGTCTCCACCTCCACCCTTCTACCCAGGATACAATTGAGCCACCCTCGATGAGCTGCTTCTCGATCGAGTGCATGGCCATGCAAGAGACAGAGGCGCAACAGGCAGCACCACCATGCGTTGTTGCATCTCATCTTCATGTAAAGAGGATTCCCATCATTTTGACATAGTTTTCTTTTTGTGCGCTAACAGATAGATCATCGTTTGACATAGTCTTCATGTTCATGTGAAGGATTGCCACCTTCTTATACGTGATCACAGACTTTTCGTGGACTAATTCGTAAGACTTTCAATCTCCGTGAAAGTTGATGACATTGACATTAATGGACATTACACTCCATGTCAAACCCATTTCTTCTACATCTAATCGTGATTACAACTACTAGTCCAACAAGAATTCCTTAACTTTCCCGGACGCGATGATTAAAAAAATAATAAATCGAATCAATTTTTTCAAGTCAGATTGATGATCGAATTTAACGATATCAATAGCAAAAAAAATTATATTCATCGGTAATTTTCCTGAAAAAACTCCTCAAACTTTTTTTAGAGTCTATAGTTTTAAATTTTTAATTTGATGCTTTTTTTCTTCAATACCTTATACGTCCCACTCAATATGGTCGCCTATTGCGTTCGCCCCATTACGAGATCATATTGCCTCTGTCCTACTGTAGGGTTTTCTTTTCTTTCATGAAGTCCTATTATTTATGTTCCGTGTGGTCATCTTTGTCCCTTATATTGTTGTCTCTATGTGGTCGAGAATAAAGAGGGGGAAGAGAAAAAAAATGAAGAAAATAAGAGAAGAAAAGATGATGCAAATGCAATCACACAGAGGCAATCATGAGAATGCGAAAGTAATAGGGTAGAAGTAGTGTGCCTTGAGTCATGATGGGAAGAAAGCGGCCAATAGATAGTGAATGATAGTAAGGGGTATTTGAGATACTGAAAAAAAAATAAATAAATAAATAAATAAATAAATAAAGAACACCGAAAGCTAAGGGCATCGAAAAAAAATAAAATAGAGGTTTTTTTCCCAAAAATCACCCAGGATAAAAGATAAAAGTTGACGCATCATTAACTTTTTTTTTTTATTTGGAACTTTTATTTGGAACCGAGGGGGTGTTAGGGCTAAATATAGTATTTCTTTTATAGAACACGAAAAAAATGGGAAATAATATTCATAACAACAACATGATAACGACCATAATAATGACACCAATTCGTGCTAATTATAGATTATCCTCTTTGGTTAGCTACATTTAGCATATCGGTTCTTATATTTTCAAAAGTTACATTGAGATCCTTGACTTGTGAAAGTAAAATATTTAACATTATTTCTTTTCACACTATTAGTTCTGAAAATACCACAAGTGCTATCATATATGAAAAATGGTACCAAAAGAGGACTAAAAAGATAATTTCGTAGTGCTATTTTCTTCAATATTAGTTTTTCTTTCTATAACTTTTGTAAAAATATTAATCGAGAAATCAATAGTTTTACAATAGTTGATAGATGAGAAGAAGACAGGGTCATAAGAGAGAGATCCTTTCTACCAAGTGCTTCACTTTTCAATAAAACCTCTGAAAATATAAAGAGAAAAGGCAGAGTAATTGAATAGCACTACCTCACTTCGTTTCTCAATAAAAGCCCTCTCTCTCAGGATTTTTTTCCTTTGGATAATTAAAAATAAAATTATGAAATTATCTTTTTAACCCTATTTTAGTATAATTTTTTTATGCTATATTTTTGTCAATAAATTCAACGAGAGAAGAAACAGGATTCAATATTTTACTTTTATAAATATAGGGATCTTAGTGTAACTTTTAAAAGTATAGGAACCGTTAAAGGTAGCTAATTACAAGGGTAATATGTAATTAGCCCCATCGATTCATATAAATCTCAAATGAAAACGTCTAAAACTCACAAAATTAATCCTTTGCTTCGTAAAACTCTACATTTTTAAAAGGCTAATTATAAATTATCATTGGTAATTAGTTATCTTTAGTATCTCAATCCCTACACTTTCAAAATTATATTGAGATTCCTATACTTACGAAAGTGAAATATTCAATCTTATTTCTCCTCACATCATCAACTCTGTTGACGAAAATATTACATGTACTAAGTGGTAAACCGAAGTGAGGCAGAGTCAACACGTGTTTAGTGGTAAACGGTATAACAAAAATCGAGGTTAAATATTTTTTTTTATAAATATAATGATAGATTAATATATAATTAAAGATAACTAATTACATAGGGTTTTAAGAAGCAAAAGAGTAGTTGTGGGAGAAGGGATTGGCCCATTACTAGATCGGAAGGCTAAATATAACTAATTACATCGGGTAATATATAATTAACCCATTACTAGATGGAAAGAGGATTACAGAGCTCACGTTAACACTAACATTGGGTAACGACGGAGTAACTGTGCGAGAAGGGATTGGCCCGAGCGCCGGGGTGGCAGTTGTAATAGGATGTGGCGGTAGAGGGCATTGTAGCTGATGTAGTTGGAGGTAGCCAGGATGTGGCGGCTCGTCTCCTATTGTAGCTCGAATTCGCTACGGGAAAGGCACTCTGCGACGATTCCATGGCAACCAGAGAGGGGAGGAACCCAACCCAGTGGTAGCTGATTCACGCTCTCTCCTCCGATGCGATCGAGGCAAGCATGAGGGTTACGAGGAAGAGGAAGAAAAGGAATTCCTTTGGCATCTCCATGTGCTTGTTATGTGTCCACTTCTCGCAATAGAAAGGGCAGAAACAAGCAAATAATAGAATAATATTTGCATGCAATCTGCATATTTCAAATCCCTCGAGACGCTTCGAACACCATGTCATGCATGCTCACATCAGCTAGGATAAGATTTGGTGTGAAGGCAACATATAAAAGGTCTCCAATTAAAAGTTTTTACAAGGAAGCATTAGAAGAGGAGGAAAAATAAGCAGTGGCATCATCGCCAACAGCAGTTCTTACATTTGGAATTGGTATGTGTTAATATGATCGATACTATTGATCAAACCATGAACTCTGAAACTACTACTGAAAAAGCGTAAGCCTGAGTGCTTGACGGGACGGACAAGAATACTGCTATGGTGGTTAACTAACAACCATTGTGTCTAATATATTCTACGGATATACCATAGATACAACCTGCACAAAATGCCGAGATCAAACACTTTGAGCTATGCATGATCGATGTAGCTTGTACTGTTGTTTTATATACTTCAAAGGTCCATAATGCTTGACTGTAACATACACAAATAGAAAGATGTGATGGCACAACCACAAAATTAGGTCATCATATCTGTAATATTTGTTCCATGACTATGCATCAGACTCATGAAAGGTTGACGGTTCAAACTTTTATAATATTAATATGATGATGATATACCATACATATTGACACCAAAAGTTAAATTGATGATATATCAAATTCATTTAACCTAAGTTTTAAGAGTTTATAACCTCATTCGACATATTTTTACAATGAGTAATAATAAGATATGTGGCAGATGTTATTGGAGGTATTCCCTAAACTCTGAGGGTGCATGGCAAAGGGCTACTCGTTGATGCCCACTAGCTTCTAATCTATTTCTTCTGTTTGTATTTTTCAAATGGAAGACTGTTTCTTAGGAAGCTCTCCCTTTGTTAGCACTCTCAATCCTCTTCCATGCTGCAGAATTTGAATCACGTAAGAGTGCTCGAACATATAAGGATGCTGATGCAATAAATTTTCATTATTTTTTATGAGAATGTTATTATAGTTGTTGGGATTGACAACAATTGTTGGATTAAATCTAGTGTGCTTAGAAGACAAAAGGACATAAACAAGAAAATACTTAAATTTTGAGCATATATAGTGCTGAGTGCAAAACCACTTAAATTTTACATTATAGACTTTTTATGTTTTATTGTTTATGTGGTATCGAGATCCTTCCCCAACACAACTTAGATACAAAAATACAGCATGGAGAACATTTTCACAATGTGTTGAAAACTGCACTGCATGAAGGTTTCCATGTCAATTAGAACCTCCAACAGATGTTGATTATTTTATTGGTTGCCATTACGCTTAGCAGCCAACAAATGCATCATCCGGGTGAGAAAGGATTGGTGTTTGTAGTGGGAAATAATTATGAGCTTGTTTATGGCGACTAAACCCAACACCAAAAACTACGGCGTTCGTCTTCGTCACTCCACGAACACATTTGACTTGTCGAAGATAGCGTGCGTTGGCGCTACAAAATTTCTTAGTACTATTCATGATTGTCGTAGCCACATTAGCTGTCTTTTTTGTGTTCGTCCAAAGAATCAAGAACCCCTAACCAACCTCTTGTTTCGTGAATACAACGAATATTCTCTCTCCATTTACCACCCCCAAGTTATATATCATTAAGGTTCCTTTCCGGTTCACGGTCACTATTTGAACAGTAGAGAAACAAACAGGACTCTTTCCGCCATCGACATAATATAGAAGCCAAAAACAAAAATCTAAAACTCACTTCAACTAAATCCACCATCCCACACCTCCTGCGGTACTAACTAATTAGTTCACCATATTCGAACTACTTGAGTTCAAAAAATAAAATAAAATAAACACTCGTATCTGGTGCAGGAAAACTAAACAAAAAAAAGTAAACAAAATAAAAGGGAATGCAGGAAAATGTAGTATATACCGGACCTTGGAAAGGCACTTGCCCAAGCATGAGAATTACACTAAAATTTCATCAATTATTGTAATTACCTCAACACTGGTCCACTGAGCCGCTCAAAGCCCATTAAGGGCCAGACTGGTCGGGTGCGCTCCCAGCAAGCCAACCCCACACCCCACCAGAACTCTGCCTCTGATGAGTGCTCAAAGCTGCGTGTTCCGAAGTAGCCTTCTGCCTCCGAAGCAGCTCCACTTCCTTCTCTAACGTTTCCATTGCCTGTAACTTCTGTCGTAGCTCCACAATGTCCACCTGTCAGGTATAGATACCCCCTAAATGAATGCAAAAAAAGAAACAGACAAACAAACAAACAAACAAACATATATGTAGTA